GAAAGAATGAACTGCTTTTCTCAGCTGCTCTTTGGTAAAAAATCTGCATTATTTCCCATCTAAAATGTGCAGAAATGTAAGTTAGTTTGAAGCAGAGGTATAAAATGAAAGGCCTGCTCTCCTGGTCACTGGTGAATGAAATGTCCATTTTTATATATATATATAATAAAAAAGGCTCTGAATAAAAATACTGCTTGAATGAAATTTAGTTCTTTTCTCAGAAACTTCATGATTTACATTCTCATGATTTTAAATGCAAGACAAAAAACCTTTTTTCTTTAGTTTTCTTAAAACTGATGCAAAATCGTATCTTTTCCCTGCACAAACGAACCACAGTTATACATCTCTGCATGAGAAATGATGTTTTTCCTCTCAACAGCATTAATTCAGCATCTCTGATTAGGAGCGTGCTCTCGACGAGCTCATCCGAAACACAAAATTAATCCTGGATCAACAGTCTTTCTCAGAGATGTTTGATAAATTAGGTCCCTTATCTTTCCAAGGAATGGCGTTCTCTCGCCGACTATTGGCATTAGAGCAGAGCTCCGGTGTTAATCAACTCAGCAGTGCATATTTCTCCTAAATCCCGCGCTCAGTTACTGGATCATGTACTGTCCCATTTAGCAGAGAGTTTGCCCCACTTTTTAATTTTTGTTGACTCATTGATGCACATCTCTGAGGAGCATAATTAAAACGTGAAGTATCCAGGGGGAGTAGCAGCCCTCTGTGTCTGTATCAATGAATAAAATCCTGGGTAGATGTTGTTGGATGGCTTTTGCCCGCTGGTAGGGTCTCCCACAGCAAATTGGTCCTGGGTGAGGGAGCACACAAATTCAAAGAAATCTCTATGAGTGTGAAATCTAGGGAACAGTTCACCCTGCCTGTGACAGGGTTACCAGCGCCCCGCCCCGGAGCCAGACCTGGAGAGGGTGCCCGAGGACGAGCGCCTGGGGGCCCAGCCCAGCCAGGGGACATGGGCCCACCCTCCTGTGGGCCCACCACCCGCAGGAGGTGCCTTAGGGGTCGGGTGCAGTGTGTGCTGGGCCAGGTGTCAAGACCCTGGCGGACCGATCCCCAGCTACCGAGACTAGTGACTGGGACATGGAACGTAACCTCTCTGGTGGGGAAGGAGCCTGAGCTACTGCATGACATTAACAGGTACCAGCTAGATATAGTCTAGCTCACCTCAACACACAGCCTGGGCTCTGGAACCAGTCTCCTGGAGAGGGGACGGACTCTGTCCCAGTCTGGAGTTGCTCTTGGTGAGAGACAGCGGGCCGGGCAGGTATCCCCTCAGCTTGCTGCCTCCTGATTGAGCTGTTCCAGGCATGTCCGGCGAGAAAGAGGTCTGGGTTTCTCTTAGGCTGTTGCCCCCACGACCCTGCCCCAGATAAGTGGAAGAAAATGGACGGATGGATAAAATCCTCACTCGCTGCTAGTAAACATAGAAAACTCAGTTCTTTGGGGTGAACGTATTCTCTTTTCTTTATTTTCTGTCATATATGAACCATTCCAGCGGTGCATCCTCGTATTAAACATGTCTTAAATTTGAAATAATGATGTCAGTGCACGTCGAGGTAATCCATGTGAGCCAGAAGCTTCAGGCTTCAGATTGATACCGTTTTTCTTCTTCTCTTGGGTCTGTATTAAAGCTGCACAATTAATCAAAGTTTAATCTTGATCTCGATTTTGGCTTCCCACAGTGCAACGACTGCGATCGAGCGATACTGAAAATCCATGCTCTGCCAAAAGAATGCAAAGCAAAAACGACTGAAACGCTCCCTTAATCAGCACCTGACCACGCGGCTGCACGTGCCAGTCCCGGCTGCTTCCTGCGCTGCGCGGATTGCAGTGTCTTGGATGAGGCTGGATGAGTAACACCAGGTTAAAGACAGATTTATAACAAAATCCAAACGTCTGGCACAGCTTTAGTCTGCAAACGCACCCCTCAAAGCGGATCAGCTTTAGGGCAAGTGATGTTAACCAAGAACATATGCAGAGAGTGCTTTAGACTTGTGTCTGTAGCATAAAGCAACACCACTAACTCATTCAAATGCCTGAAAACACACGACAAACTGCAGGGTAATTAATGCACGAAGGCCAAGAGAAAACAATGCAACGGCCGCTGACGCCCATAGAGCACACCTGTCTGCATAACCATCCGGCTCGCAAAGACCCGCTGAAATTACCAACCCGACTGCACCCATGTTGGCGACAGATGTGTCCGGTAAACACGATGACTAATGTTGCTTCAGGAAAACGGTCAGAATATTGGTCAAAGGTATCCCCACGTGCAACATTGTGCTGTATGCAAAGTTTCCTTTCTGTCAGTTTTATTCACACCTATCATGCAGGTGCAATGAATGAAGTGAAAGACTTTATACTTTTAGGAGATGCATCTAAGTCAGGAATCAACACACTGATACAACTTTGTGTTAAGCTTTTGTTTTTCTTCTAAGAGTCGAATCGAGGTGAATGAGGAGGGTCAACTTTATTTACAGATGTGCAGATATGAAAGCAGTGTTCTGCTTATGATGTCAAAGACAGGAGAAATCCTTTTTTGGTCATCAGTGAGCACACACACCTGCTGTTTGAAACGTCTGTTTATGACGGCTTCAGCTCTCAGGCAGGAACGAGCTGAGGGCCTGCATGAAATAAGGATTATTTTCAACTGTGAACAAAGAAATAAAATCCCTAGAATAAAAATATAGAGCTGGAAATGAACGGTCTCCTTTAATGAAGACGTCCACAGATTCAGACAGCTGTAGAAACATTTATCCAGCTCTGACACCAATGATGCTTTTAGACAACTGAACTAATCTGTTCCTGAATATAGGTTGGACTTTAAAAGTTGTCCAGAGAGGGCTTTAAATGGGGTGATGAAGCAAACACAAATAGTACATTAAAGTGGGACATTAACTATCAATGGATTTGAGGCTCTACTCAGCTCAGACACCACTAAATGCATATATTAGCAGCATGAATGGACTCAAGTACAAATAACAAGCACTATGCTCCTTAACAAAATCACATCTTTGGAAATACATGTGATCCCCCAGAGCAAATCACTGGACCGAACTTTTTCAGAGCTGAAAGGGTTTTCCTGTTGTTGGTCAGTACGGGGTTAGGGTGCACATCTACTGGTTTATGTGGAATTTTCACCCTGCTGGTATACCCAAAGGAAACCCTCACTGCACAGTACCTGCAAGGGCAAATAATTGGCAAGCTAACACCTTCTAGTTTCTGAAACTATGCTTGTTCACTGGTTATCAGGTGGAGAGGTCACATTAAATGAAAGGCTTTCGCACACATTTCATTCAGTTGGCTCTGCGTCCTCACAGGAAGAAGGTTGTGGGTCGACTCTTTCTCTGGACACCCTGGATTCCAGCTAACAGGGAAAAGTACTGCATATAAAATAAATTAAGGGTGTAACTCTGTAACCAACTTTGCACCATTTAAAAGCATTGTACCATTATTTTATGGTACGCTCTCTCTAGGATACAAGTGTCCCACATCAGGAATGCTTTGGTAACACACAACTGTACAGACTTATGGCTTCAGCATTCCTCACCCCGACCACCATCTGTCGGGAGAAGCCGGCTAATGCTAACACGGAGCCAGATCTAAATATCCTTTCAGAGAGATGACTGGTTGCCTTCACCAGAGCTGGATCTGAACAGTGAGAACATTTGTTGGATGTTAAGGTGTTTCATGAAGTCCAGAACTGACAGAAACTGGCAGACGAAGAACTTGCAACATTACAGATAATACAGAAACCATTTAGCACAGATATGAATACGAGCAGGAGTGCATTGACGTTTTAGCTCTCCCTGTTTGTGTCACTCAGGCACAAAACTCTTTGAAACCCACAGCCTTAGTGGGCTCTGCATCAGCGACAAGCAGCTGTACCCTAAAACAGGCACATCGAGGCACTTTAGCTGCGAGCTCACACCTTATGAGAATCTGTGGAATCATGTGATACTTTTACTGTTCTGTAATCACTCTGACTTGGACCACCGGTGGACTGATACACAGCTCCCTCTGCAGCCACACAGTGCTTCGATGTTTTGTTAAACATGTGTAGAAGTCTGCTATTCCAAGACCTGCAGGCAGCTGTGAGAGAAGGATAAATTCATGGATTTGCCTCCTTTAAGCAGCAGGGGAACGTCTCCACTTTATTTCTCACATGTGAATTTTCCAGGTTTTCTTGCTCTACTATAATATTAAAGCACTGTGGTGGCGAAGGTGGGGCTTATTGGCTAACTTTAACTGATAAACAACATGTCACACAAGGCTCCGCAATTATTTCACAGCCAATGAGAAACAGGGTGACCTGTCACAGATGTACAGGACGGCAAAGCAAGAGTCCTCCACAGAGCCAGGAGCACATGGCTGCTGAAACATGATCTGCAGTAATGTAAGATGGAAAAAGGGCCGTGTGGGTCCTGCCTGCGTAATTAAATTGCTCCACAGCTCTTTTTCTGCATTTAAAGTATGCAAACAGTCTCCATACTTTACATATTTGTCTGCTTTCTACTGCTTACGTGACAGTTTCTTGTTTTTCTTTGTTAATAAAGTAATCAATGCTAATTTATTAATGAGATCTGGGTAGCAGGTCTGATACATTGTATATTCCAGTGGAAAATTTCCACAGCATTTAAAAGGCTCTCTTTGCATGTTGCAAATAATCACATGGACTGCAGCAGTCTCCGTGAGGCTCGGTGCACAGGTGGAGCTGTGACTTTAATCTGGAACACGCGCTGGACAAATGGGGCTCAAATATTTCCATTAGCTGCTAATCTGTTGATTAACCCTTTAACTAGTCGCTCAGCCCCGGTTACATCAACAGAAACTCGTAAGCAACAGCAGAAATGTTCGTGTAACTGATTATTGTGCGGGGATCGCAGCTTTATCACTCCGCACTGCTCCTACACTGACGCCGAGCCCGGCGTTTCCCCGGAGGCTCCAAACTTTCCCGTAACCACGGCGGCTGCTCTGACCTTTAATGTGCTCGTTGACGACGCTCTCCAGCCGGTCCAGCCTCTCGATAATCCTCAGGGTTTCACCTTTGCTGTCCTCCTCCAACTTTCTCTCCGCCTCGCCGCCGCCGCCGCTCTCCGCAACTTTAGGACCGCTGTTGGCCACGTAGTTGGTGATCCAACCGACGTACAGCAGGCACACGATGTTGGTCATACCGCTCAGGATTACGCATGTTGACACCAAAGTTTTAGTTCTCCTTGTGCACAGCATCGCGACGTCCCTCCATGGGCAGGCAGGTGGATGCCAGGAGAGGACGCGCTCGAGAAATGTGTCCAAACGGAACTAGAGCGAGTCAGTTCGCCTGTGCGCGCTCACGGGCCCGGATCAGCATCTCCACATCCTCCGGAGGCTTTCAGCGCTTTCCACTGCCGCACGAGCGATACTTCAGGTTTTAATCCCAGAGATGAAAACACGGTGTCCCGCTAAGCTACCGGCGAGTTCAGCCGCAAAGCCGTGAGACGCAGCAACCCACCCCCCACAACCCATCCCACCGCGTCGTAGCCCTTGCACAGCCCAATAGGAGGGGAGGAGGAGGGGTTTGCTGGAGTCTACCCGCCCCCACACACAGCTGGAGCGCACAGAGGAGGGCGGAGGGGAGGAATGTGAGGAAGCTCAAGTGCAACGACCCAAACAGTGACGATCGGCGCGGCGCGGTAACGGAAACCAAACCGGTTCGTGTAAGTAAGGAGCGGCATACCGCGTGTGTGCGCGAGCGCCGAGTCTACAGGTGAGTCTACAGGTGAGTCTACAGGTGAGTCTACAGGTGAGCCTGTGGGTTCAAGTGTGAGCAGTTTGGTGACAGATTCTGCTGGGACTGCAGGAAGTGAGCTTCACTCCTGTTTTATTAAAAATCATGACTGAGAAAATGATTTTTTATCATCCAAGTCACAGTAGGAGGTCATGTTTCGCACTACACGTCACATTTATATTAATGTAAGATCATCTGCATTAGACATATATGTATAGATGAACACACACGCACACACACATATATGTGAGAAACTTTGAAATGCAAGTATAAAAATATGAAACTTATCGTGTGTAGCACAAGCTTAAAGGTGAAACATCCCAGAGGTGTTCAGTTCAGATCATATTTGAAGCTTCAGTAAACGCTGTGCGTTTGTGCACACGTGTGTTTTCCATTAAAGCCAGCTGTTTTATCAGAGGCTGTTCCTGAATATTAGCAACTATTCACACGCTTCACTGTAGTTTTCATTTAGTTTGAGTTATATTTAGCTGCGAGCACGCATCATCAAAACACAAATCGTCAGCTATTGGGCCATCACATGTTTGATTATTTTTTTTAGAATACTCGTGATGAACATCATCAGATTCAATTCATATTTAGCCAGTTTTATGATTGCAGAGGTTCTGATTGGGCACTGGCACCGGGTTTCCTCGGTGAGCGTGAATAACTGTTGATTTAGCCATTTTTGCTGTGAATGTCCATGTGAAAGACACAATATAACTATAAATATAAATACATAACTCTATTTCCAAAAGACAGGACCTTGTGTAAAATATAAATAAAACACAGTGTAATATTTAAAAGGTGTTTAAAGCCTGTATTGATTTAAAATTTCATGCCATCGACATGATAAAAGTCGGTACAATGAGGAAACGTTAATCACTGTGTTGCATCTCTCTTTCTTTTAACAACACTGTGTGCATCTTTGGAACTGAGGGGAACAAATCCTCTGGGTTTAAAAGTCGAATGTTTTCACATTCACACTTTATCATTTCTGGGCCTCTTTTGTTCGTCTTTAATAACGTCCCAGAGGTTTAGTATCGCAATAACGGTTTAGGAATTACAGCCATTTTTATACACAGCCCCCCTTTTCAAAGGCTCAAAAATAAATGAACAATTGGCAGACAAGCAGGAGTATCCTGCTCCCTGTTAGGGGTAAAAGGTCTAGATTCCAACTGTTGAACTCCCATTTGATCCAAACTATAGTGTAAAAGCATTCCAACAGTTTCTCAAGGCTAAGAATACGATATTGTTCCACATGCATAGTTAAAATGTACGTCCCAGCCCTCGATCAGGTAATTCTCACATTTCTCACTGAAATACTGTAACTCATCATGCAGATTGTGGAATGATATCCATTATTACTTATAAAAACTCACCTGGTGGGCCTTGATGTGGGTGGCATGTGAGTCTTAGGGTTCACTCTGTAAACAGTGAACAGGTATTCCGTCTGCAGCTGCAAATAAACATCGTGACGCCATTTTTACAAACTCGACTGCTGCAGGTTTCACTGTTTTCCACATTACTCACAGCGAACATCTTCAGATTTAGCTTTATTAACTTTATTAACATGAAAAAATTAAAACTATGACTTGAGGGCTAACTGTCCGAAAAAGTGAAACATAACTTTCAGAGTCTCTCCACCAAAGGAATTCTTATACAGCCCTTACTGAGGTCTACATATGTGCATATTATACAGTCAATAAGAATGTACTGTCATGGCTTTGCTGCCAGTGAGTGGTTTACTCAAAGGCCTCTGGTGGGCATCACTTTATATGAGCACTCACACACACATGCACGCGCACACACACATGATCGCCGACCACCTAGGGTTGCTGTACCTGAGAGCTAAAAGAACTTCAGAGCTTCACACCACCAGCAGATGGATCTCACAGTGAGGGCCTCTAGGCTCCAGCTTTTATCTTTGTCTTTCATCCACTGCTCCACCAATCGCACACACACTCTTGCAGACACACACGTACACACACGTGGCACTGAATCGAAAACTCGCCATTCACCCAAGAGCACTCTGGCAGATTCAGCTGACTTGCCGAGGGTATAAATAATGCATTAGATCTGAAATATTAAGGCTCTCTGGTCTATGCCGCTTTCAATCTCGTCTGACTGACTGTCTGTCAGTCTGTCTGGGTCTCTCGTTCTTTCTCTTCCCTCATTTTGGCCAAAAAGGAGGCAAAATGTCATTGATTTTACTGTGCTTGGAGCAAGGAAAACACTAAAAACCCACTAAAAGGGTTCAATCTTTGTCTTCCTGTAATGCAAGCAGACAATTGTTGAAGTGAACCTGATGAGTATCCTCAAAGCAATCAGGCATCAAAGACATCTCAGTTTCATCAAAATACGCTCCAAAACTGTAGCATCACTCGTCTCTTATGAGTTACTGTGCTCAGGACACGCAGACTGAACATTACCATCATGTCTGTCACTTTATAACTGGCGTGGATGGTGGCAGGTCCCCAGGCATCTTTACTGCTGTAGGGTCACACAGGGTGGGGTGGGGTGGGGGGCTGTTTTCACCAGTGTACCCTCAGGCCTTTTCCACTCGTATTAAAATTATTTGATAAAATCGGATTTCTGAGCAGTGATTGCCTTGGGGAAGACCTTAGGCCTGAGATGCAATTATTACATCAGTTCACAGATATAAGTTCTATCCAGCAAAGATGTTTTCAAGTCTACAGTGTTTTAAATGTTTAAAGGATACAGCTAACCACTTTAAGTCTCATGCAACTGTTGCCATTGCAGCTTGCAGAGGTAGTTTAAAGTGGCTCGCAAGATTACGAGGTCAGGGATCCTGCATGCTCAACTGCCTCAACATTAAAACCACCCAACTAAGAGCACGGAAGTGAGACCTTTACCTGTAGGCATTGTAATTCGAAAAGGTTATTTCTGCACGATCTGGATGTGAAGAGCCGAGCTGTTTATAGTCTTCTTCAGGCTTGTGGTGTGATGGCACAAACTGAGCTTGAGCCCAGAGGGAACGATCCATTGTTTTCTTGTAGAGAAGCATCACCTCAGACTCATAGAGGTGGACTCTAATGTCAGCCTTTTCAAGCCAAGTCTGGAAACTTTTCTCTTTTCTTTGAGGCGGTGACCTATGATACCAACCAATAAGCTGCTTATAATGCAGTCTTTAGATCCCTTCCCAGGTGATTCAGTCGCCACTCCTTTGCTGATCTACATGGTGGCAGAGGGTGAAAGAAGAAATTCACGCCTTGGTGCATGTGACCCTAATGACTCACCTCTCAGAGAAATTTGTTTAATGTGGATTCTGGTTAAATGACATTGTGTTTTAAAGCTGTGACTGAATAACTTGAAAGTGCATCATGGTGACACACAGCGGTTCCCAAAATATCCTTGCCATTTTGGAATGAGTCTGGCATGATTTGAAATTCCGGTTTAATATCGGAGGACATCGTCTCTTCAAGTTGTTTCAGCAATATAGAACTGATTATGTGGGAGCATGCCTGACTGCAACAAGGGCTTAATTAAATCAGCTCACGGGTGGATCAATTGAAAAGTCCTCTGTGTTGACAAGTGTTTGCTCTGACAGAGAGGACGAGGAGCCGGGCCCCCTGTGCTGCAAGCTAATGTCACAATCAGCTGAGATGACTGACCAAAGAGAATTGAACAGCAATGCACAACGTTTCCGTTTTGTTATCTACGTTCGGTGTTTTGCTGTTCGTGTTTCACAGCAGTCTTACAAACCAAATGTAGCTCGGAACAATTTATTATAGAACCTACTCAACAAATTTGTAAAAATATCTGGTATATATCAAAAAACTCTAACCTTCAGCTTATTCAATATAAAATACTTCACCGGGTCCACTGCACTGCTCAAAAAATGCCAAAAATGGGTCTGCTTCCATGTGAAATATGCACACATACATATCTCCATGCTCTGTGGCTCTGCACAACTAGATCACTTTTCACCATGATTGGCTGTCTCATCCCATTACCAGCATGTCTCTGTCTGCTGGGGGACACCACAACAATTACTGATGATGTCCACAATCCCAAATTATTACTCATAGCGTTAACTATTGGCAAAGAGACAATCCTAGTGAACTGGAAAACAAGGACCACCATCAGTTTGACTCAGAGTACAGTTCACATTCTGTAGGATCTTCATTTATATTAGTTTATTTATCAGGATTATGGTCTTTGTCCTGTTCTTTCTCTTTCTTCTCTTATTCCTTTCTCTCTTTTTTTCTCCTTTTACCTTCTCCCTCCTCATCTGTTTGTATTATTGTGCATAATACAGCAGATCCACCCTGGTAGAAATGACTTTCGCTCCCCGTTTCCTCTGTTTCCCAGTGTATGTCCTGTCCTCTCGCCTCTCCCAGATACTTTATTGACTTGTTTAGCTAATGACTCTGTAAATGAAATGAGTCAGGCCCTGTGTTATTACTGTTATTGTTATTATTATTGTTTTGTTGCTGTTATTATTATTGACAGACAGAGCACAAGGAAAAAATAAATATATATATACTTTTTCTATTTTTCACATTCACGTGTCCCTCAAAGTTTTTGAAATGCAGATAAAAAATAAATGAATAAAAAAAAAGAAGCAAAAATCGATGTTTGTGAATAAGAATTGTTAAATTAGGCCACACCCCATTTTTTTCAAAATAAGAGAAAACATTTACCTTACTTTGTTATTCTGGTGAATAAAGAATATTTTGTAATCAATCACCAAAAGCATGTTGGTAGGTGTTAGAATACCTGACCGGTGCTCTGAAGTAAACTCTGTGTGTGGGAGCAGAGTGAAAAGTGTTTCGTCTGACTGATTTGCATTTGACATTTTG